CTCGTGACCCTGCCCACGGACGCGGGCGGGGCCCCACACGTCCATGTGAAGCGTCTGCAGAGGAGCCTCTGTCGGGGGAAACTGGGAGGAGTGAGGGGCAGCCCGGAGCCGCCCCTCGACACAGGGGACACAAGAAGGTCCGGGTCCCGAAGGAAGGGGAGGGAGAGACCGGGGAAGACCAGAGACAAGGACACGAGAAGCCATGCCCCGAAGACGAAGCAAGGAGGGGTGGCCAAGGCGGTGGTGCCACAGGAGAGTCTCGTGAGACAGGCGGCGACACGAGCAGGGGGCAGACTCAGGACCAGACCTGGACGCAGCAGCAAACACCTGACCCGACGCAGCTACCTGGCCAGACGCAGGGACAGGAGGAGACGCAGTGGTCAGTGTGTAGAGACTCGACCCTGGCCGACGCGAGAACGTGGCCAGGTGTCGGCCTGTGCGGGCATCCGAGCAGTGGGTCACCCGCTGACTCGCAGGAGTAAACTGGTGAACCCCCGCATCCTGCAGGTCAGCACCACTCACCAAGTTCGTCGAGAACGAGGGGAGGTACAGACCAGACAAGGTGCCCGAGGGGGCAGCCGGACACGGGAGGACAGTGGAGAAGTGAGAGAGGACAGGACCCCCAGAGGGGTCAGCCAGGGAGACTGCAACCGGCCGGCCAAGCGGCGTGAGTGTGGTGCGGTCTCGAAAGAAGGAGCGAGAAGCCCCTGAGTCAAGTGTGAAGGTGAGGGAGGCCGAAGCCGACGCAGTACCTGAGAGCGCAGCCTCACCAGTACGTGAGAGTGCAGACGCACTGGCACCTAGAGCAGCAGCCGCAGAAGTACCTGGCGCAGCAGTACCAATGCCCGGGTCGGGCGGGAAACACTGGTAACAGTCACCCTCCTCACTAATAGTCACAGCATACATGGCAGCAAGGATAGCATCAAAGTCAAGATCAAAGACAGCTACGCCAGCCCTAGACAGCTCTCCCCAACGGGGAATCTCACTGGCCTCGGGGAACTGCTGACGCCAAGCGTCCGTCAGGCGGCCAAAGCAGCGCTGAGTGGGGTGCGCACCCCCACACTGCTCACCCGCTCGGTCACCGGAACGAAGGACGTAGGTGCACGGACCAAAACCCCCACCCCGCTGACGCTGCGTGTACCACTCACGGAGCTGCTGGGGCGGGGGGATGTCCCGCGAACGCTGCTGCTGCTGCTGCTGCTGACGCTGGCCACCACCAGGGCCGCTACGCAGCGGGGCACCACCCCGACCAGCTCCACCCCCTCCGCCACCGCTGCCTCCACCTCCACCACCACCGCTGCCTCCGCTCCCACCGCTGCCGCCACCACCGCCTCCTCCTCCGCTGCTGCCACCGCCACCACCGCCCCCGCCACCACTCCCACCGCCACCCCCACTCCCTCCTCCGCCTCCACCGCCTCCTCCACCGCCCCCGCCAGCTCCACCCGCGCCCTTGCCCCCCTTGCCCCTGCCAGGGCGGCGTCTCCCGCTAGGGGCAGACGCCGCGCAGACCGACTCAAGACCAAGCAGGTCGGCAGCAGCAGCAGAGGCAACAGAGGGCAGCAGGGGGGAAGGAGAACACCCCTCAAAGATGGGGGTGCGAGGGTCACCACGAGAGGCTCCTACAGCGACGATGCTCTTCTCCGCCGCCAGGAGGGACTTCTCGAGGAGGTCGACAGTGAGAGTGGTGGGACAGACCGAGAGGTAGTGGTCCCTGACTACGCGAAGGGAGTCAGGGAGGCGTGTGACTATGTAATAGAGAGTGATGTACATGGGGGGGGGGTTCTTGGCGCAGAACTCAGCAGGAAGGGCGGCGCGGTAGCGAGTGTCACTAGTGCGGAGGTGCGTAATGAGGTCAGCGACAGTGGGAAAGGCAGTAAGGTCAGGAAAGAGGTACGGTAGCATGAGGCGGCTCAGGGCAGCAGTGGCAGGGGAAGAGTAGCGCGCAACTACAGCGTCGTACAAGGTCTGAGCACTCTTGTACTGACTAAAGTGCGCGCGCTCAGTGGTAGGCAGGTGGCGACGCACAGCAAGACGTGCAGCAGCATCGCGGGTGGCCCACTGAGAGCGAACAGTGGGGTCAGCATCAGTAGCAGGGGCAGGAGAGGCGCCAGAGGTGAGGTCAAAGAGGGAAAGATCGTCCGCCCTATCGCACTGTAAGAACAGCTGCAGGTCGTCGACCCAGACCTCAAAGTCAATGGCTCGACCCTCAGCGTCAAAAGCGAGGACACTAGGGGTAGCCATGACGACGACAGACGAGCAGTGCAAGCAGTAGGGGAAGGGCACGCAGTGACAGTGGGGCTGTGCTCACCGGACAGGGCAGGTCGGGCGGCTCGGCAGTAGGGCGGCTCGGCTGCTCAGCGGCTCGGCGGCAGGGCGGCTCGGCTGCTGGGCGGCTCGGCTGTTGGGCGGCTCGGCGGCAGTGCGGCTCGGCTCCCGGGCGGCTCGGCGGCAGGGCGGCTCGGCTCCCGGGCGGCTCGGCTGCAGGGCGGCTCGGCTCCCGGGCGGCTCGGCGGCAAGGCGGCTTGGCTCCCGGCGGTTCTGCTGCTAGGCGGCTCCCGCAGGTAGGGCGGCGGTAGGGCCGCAGGTAGGGCGGCGGGCGGGCCGCAGGTAGGGCGGCGGTAGGGCCGCAAGTAGGGCGGCGGGCGGGCCGCAGGGAGGGCGGCGGTAGGGCCGCAAGTAGGGCGGCGGGCGGGCCGCAGGTAGGGCGGCTTGCGGGCCACAGGTAGGGCGGCGGGCGGGCCGCAGGTAGGGTGGCGGGCGGGCCGCAGGTAGGGCGGCGGGCGGGCCGCAGGTAGGGTGGCGGGCGGGCCGCGACGTGAGGGCGGCGGGGCCGCTGTAGTGGGGCGGCGGGGCCGCTTAGCAGAGAGCGGCGGGGCCGCGTGAGCAGGGCGGCGGGGCCGCGTGAGCAGGGCGGCGGGGCCGCGAAGCAGAGGGCGGGCGGGCCGCGACGTGAGGGCGGCGGGGCCGCTGTAGCAGGGCGGCGGGGCCGCGTAGCAGAGGGCGGCGGGGCCGCGTGAGCAGGGCAGCGGGGCCGCGAAGCAGAGGGCGGCTGGGCCGCGCGAGCAGGGCGGCGGGGCCGCGAAGGAAGGGCGGCGGGGCCGCGTTAGTAGGGCGGCGGGGCCGCGAAGGGAGGGCGGCGGGGCCGCAAGGGGCGACACGGAGGGTCGCTAAAAAAAAAAAAGGAAAACGCGCCTCGGGTTGCGCTTCGGTGGGCCCTAGAAGCAGTCCCTAGGAGGGGACCTGCTCTGATTCCATGTGGAAATGAGGAACGAGAATGGGTGAACTATGAAATGAAGTGAGTACAAATAGGAAACCCTAATTGGGTTGTACCCCCTATGGGATACCCCACTATAGCCTACACAACAGCATAAGCTATATAATGTTCTGACAGGTTTATATAAGAGTACAGGGGAATACGAAAAGACCTAGGCTAGCCATGTACTCTAAGGGGTACATTCCCTTATTCTAACCAAATTCAAACCGTGCGGCGCGGGAACCCGTTTCAAACCTGTTCCAGCTCTTTTCCCTTCAAATGTTTCTGCCTGCATCGGTCTTGGTCAGACGGTTGCTGCGTCGCTTCGACTCTTCTGACTCCTCGACTTCATACTCGGTAGAGTCGGCTCCTGTAGCATACAGGAATGCCTACTCATGTAATTTCATATTGTAACAGCAACAACAACCCTCTTGCTCCCACCGCTCACACTGCCACCACCATCTCACTCCCACCACCAGGCAGGCTGTAGCCAAGGCTTGCTACAGTGAAGTGCGGGGTCATGGGGGGGAGAATTTCCAACAACCACCGAACGCGGGCAATTTGGGGTGCACCCCCTCGTCTATAAAACATTAGAAATGGTATTTGTAAATTACGTAATTGCACTGCATTAGCTAAGTTCAAATGTGTTGTAGCGTGTGAATGATTGACCGTGATGGTTGAACTTTACAAATGAGCTTGTAGAATCTGCAGAGAAATCAGTTGGCATTATTTTAGAATTATACCTAGAACTCAGCTCTTTTTGTTGTGTTCGAATAAGAGAATATATATTCTTTCTGTATGGTTACTATACCCCTTCTCTTCCATCGAGTTTGCTTCAACTGTTTCGGCCTAATATTTCGCTCCGAACCACTTCCAAGTCGCTCCCGCACCTTTCGCCAAACTTCCGTGCCTCGCCTACCCCATGGGCCTCGCCTAGCTCGACTCTGCCTATTTCACCTCGTTTTAGACATTCAGAGGACATTCGGTCTTGTAGTTTTATAGTTTGTAATTACTGTGCAGTTTTCTTGTTATTGAATTACATAATTCGAATTCGCGTCATCCTCCACTGCCGAAAGAGTTCACAGGACCCACGTTCAGTATCACGAAGTTAGAGGTGGGAGGGCGAATAGAGTGGCTCGAGAGAGAGGCGGGAACGAGAGTGGCGGAGAGGCGGGACAGCAGATTCGCGAGGAGCAGCAGCAATGGCTGGTGGGAAAACAGGAGCGCCAGCCTGACATTCGTTGAGCGACGTCATAGTACAGCGGCGATACTACAATGGCAATTAAAAACGTTTTGACGATGAGAGGGTGACGGACTGCGACGAGAGAGCGATTGGCGATGGCGGGAAAACGGCAGTCGGTGACGATAAAGCGACAAAAACCTATTCGCGATGGCGAAAATCCGCGGTAGCAGATGCGCGAGGAGAAGCGACAATGGGGGTGGGGCACGCAGGCGCGCGTGGGGGGGGCTCCCAGCGGCGGAAGCGGCCAAAACAACCACGGCGACGGCGGCGGCGGCAGCGGCGGAGACAGCAAAGTCGCTGCTAGCAGCACAGGCCTGAGTGGCGGCGGCGGCGGTGGCGGCGGTGGCACTGGATCATTTCCTCGCCGCCGCAACCCCGGCCGATGCCATTGCTTCCTCCCCCATCCCCTGCGCGCGCGCCTTTGCCGCCGCCTCCACAAGAATCCGCGGAAATTAGTTCGCGCGTCAGTGGGAGGGATGGGGAGCGCAGATTGGATTAGCAGCGATGGGCGGTCGCGTGGAAGGGGAAGGGGAGGCGGAGCGGGAAGGGGATGCGAAGGGATGGGAGGGGGAAGTGAGGATGCGGCCGCTCGCGGTTTGGCTTTGGCGGAAACGGGGGAGGGGAGGGGGAGCATGGGGCGGAGCAGGAGGGCGGAGGAAGGGAGAAGGGGCAGGAGTAGGGGTGGGGAAGCGCGAGGGAGAGGGAAGCGGGAAGAGGGCGCGTCAGGGGCTCGAGCGGGGGCGCGGAGGGGGACGCGCGGAAGCCCGTTGGGGGGGACTCGGAGGAGAGCCGGCAGGGGAGGGGCGAGTGCGGGTGAAGGCAGCATCGTGGGAGAGCATAGGTGTGAGGTGGGGGAAGGAGAGGCAGACACCGAAGCAGAAGCGAGTGAGCCGTGGTGGTGCTGGCGAGACAGGCGCGGGGGATATGGGGCAAAATGGTGTGAAACATAGGATGGGTGAAACGTATGGTGATGGTTTGAGGTATGGACTATGGAGGAGGCACGAGATGGGTGGAGCTTGAGAGGCGTAAAGGGGGGGGGGTGCTGCCACAGCGGTTGGGAGGGGAGAGGTGAGGGAGGGGCCAGAGGAGGGTCGGAGGGAGGGCAAGGGGGAGGAGAAAAGGGTGATAGGAGAGGTGAAAGCGGAGTGCAGGGAAGAGGCGAGAGGTGGGTAAGAGCGAGTGGATGGGACACCACCGAGCACCACTGAACATCACTGATCACCACTTCAAACCCGCAGGCCAAGATATTCAAGCTTAGGAAGGTTGGTTGGGAGGGAGGACGGTATTTGCCCGTGAGCCAATAGGAGTGTCGAAAATGTTGGCCTAGGTCATAGAACTCGGGAATCAGCACAGGCGTTTTTGGGACACCCAACCAACATTAGGAAGGATGAGCCAATTTTGGCCTTCTTGGCCCACGGGTTTTAACACCACTTAGAACCATTGAACTGAACACCGTTGAACTATGCCATAAAGCCTTGCCAAGGTTCTCAGCCTTGCCTCGCTCACCCCTCGCTGCACCTATCTCCTCCCTCACACCCCCCTCTCCTTCCTCTCACGCACCTCGCCCTCGCCTTTGCCCTCCCCACAGGTACGCCCACCGGGTGGTCACACTGGAACTGAAAACACTGATGGCTGCGCTGCTGGCTCAACCCCCCCATATTTCTCCCACCTCCCCCTGCTGTCTTTCACTCTCTCCCCCATCTGGCCCCTCCTCCCCGCTCTTTCCCCACCTCCCCCGCCCCAGGTACGCCCACCAGGTGGTCACCAGGTGAAATGGGGGGCAGGTGAAATGGGGGGCAGGTGAGGGGGAGGCCTTGACGCTGCCACTGTCTACCCACCCACCCCTCCACTCCGCTCACATCCGCCTTGTCCTTGCATCCATCCTGGTAGATGCACCAGCAGCAGCATTCCCGTGCTTGTGGCTCTCTTTACACGACGCCTCGCCAAGGTGAGGTGGGCAAGGTGAGTAGAGGTGAGGTGCGATTTGGTGCTTTCTGGCAACACACGTTCAGGCAACACACGTTTAGGTAAGGAATGTGGTGGCGGTTGGGCGGTTGCATGTGTGTGGGGTGATGCGCACAGCCTGCCTGACCTCGTGCCTCTCTCTGAACGCCCCCTCGCCAAGGTAAGGTGGCTAGAGGGGCTGAGGTGGCTAGGCAGGGCTGGTTAGGGTGGTTAGGGTGGTTAGAGTGGTTAGGGTGGTTAGGGTGGTTAGGGTGGTTAGGGTGGTAAGGGTGGTTAGGGTGGTTAGGGTGGTTAGAGTGGTTAGGGTGGTTAGAGTGGTTAGGGTGGTTAGGATGGTTAGGGTGGTTAGGGTGGTTGGAGTGGTTAGGGTGGTTAGGGTGGTTAGAGTGGTTAGGGTGGTTAGGATGGTTAGAGTGGTTAGGGTGGTTAGGGTGGTTAGGGTGGTTAGGGTGGTTAGAGTGGTTAGGGTGGTTAGGGTGGTTAGGGTGGTTAGAGTGGTTAGGTTGGTTCGGTTGGTAAGGGTGGTTGTTCTCTACTGGTGACGTCTGATCTCCCATGCTAACCTCCCATGCTAACCTCCCATGCTAACCTCCCATGCTAACCTCCCATGCTAACCTCCCATGCTAACCTCCCATCCCATGCTAACCTCCCATGCTAACCTCCCATGCTGACCTCCCATGCTAACCTCCCATGCGAAACCTCCCATGCTAACCTCCCATCCCATGCTAACCTCCCATGCTAACCTCCCATGCTGACCTCCCATGCTAACCTCCCATGCTAACCTCCCATGCTAACCTCCCATGCTAACCTCCCATGCTAACCTCCCATGCTAACCTCCCATCCCATGCTAACATCCCATGCTAACCTCCCATGCTGACATCCCATGCTAACCTCCCATGCTAACCTCCCATGCTAACCTCCCATGCTAACCTCCCATCCCATGCTAACCTCTCATGCTAACCTCCCATGCTAACCTCCCATCCCATGCTAACCTCCCATGCTAACCTCCTATGCTAACCTCCCATGCTAACCTCCCATGCTAACCTCTCATGCTAACCTCCCATGCTAACCTCCCATGCTAACCTCCCATGCTAACCTCCCATGCTAACCTCCCATGCTAACCTCTCATGCTAACCTCCCATGCTAACCTCCCATGCTAACCTCCCATGCTAACCTCCCATGCTAACCTCCCATGCTTGCGGAGATAACTACTACAACGGGAGCTAGACTACGGGCTAGGCACGGGTGCTCGTGTGATCTCTGCGTTCGTTGGTCCTTAGTCGTTTTCTTAGTGCACACACTGCTTGCTAGTTCACGGGGTAATTTTGGCAAGAGTTTCACTAGAGAAAGTCGACAACAATGGTACAAATCAGTTGGCATGGCAAGACTACATCAGAGCTAGCATTCAGGTCGGTCGACTGCCAGCACAGCATGGTCGACCGCGTTCCAGCACGACTTGGTCGACCGTGCTCCAGCAGTGCAAAGTCGACGGCGTGCCAACGCTGCAGGTTGACGGCGTGCCAGCGTTGCTCCCGCAGAACAGCAGCGCACCTACTTCGCAGGTGCTCGTAGATGATTGGCGGGCTAAGCCTCGTCACCTGAACAGCGCACGCACCAAGTCATCCTCGTGCTGACGGCTCCACCTGATCCGCCACGTCGACCTCGGGATACCACCACCGAGGTCGGACTCGCCAACTTCGCCTGGGCGACCGTCGCACTCCTTCGCAGAACCTCGTCACCCAGGTATCCCGGTCGACTGGGCAACCATGTCGACCAGCTGCTCCTGTATGTGCTCGTCGACCTCCCAAGTCGACGACCACCCCAAGTCGACCTCACCAGATCGACCACACCTCTGGTCGACCAGCTCCAGGTCGATGTCACTCCTGGTCGACCAGCTCTACGTCGACCAGCGCAGTTGTCAGCCGACCACCCAAGTCGGCTACCCGAAGTCGGCGTCACCAAGTCGGCGCCGACTTCCGGGCCGACCTCTTGAAGTCGGCGACCTCCCAAGTCGGCGACCTTGCAAGTCGGTGACCTTGCAAGTCGGTGACCTTGCAAGTCGGTGACCTTGCAAGTCGGTGACCTTGCAAGTCGGTGACCTTGCAAGTTGGTGACCTTGCAAGTCGGTGACCTGGCAAGTCGGCGCCGACTTCCAGGTCGACGTGCCACATCGCTGACCACCAATTCGGCGGCATTGCAGTGGCCCCGTGCAAGTTGACCAACCCCGTCGACCAGCTCGCCCAAGTCGGCGTCGCCCACTGCAACAAGTCGGCTGTACCTCCCGTACACCCAACCACAAAGTCGGCTCCGCCCAAGCGAGGACGGGGCCAACAACAACGCCCGTTGACACTCCCCTGCCGCATTCATGCTTGGGCTCCCAGCCCACACGGCATCACTGCTCGAAGAATAGCTCGTCGGCGTGCACCCAACACACAGCACGCCGGTCACCGCACCAGCCATGCAGGAGGGCATGGCACCTACTGCTGCACATCGTTGTCCCCGTCGCCCACGTCGACCAAGCGCACCTGGCCAATGGCAACGGAGCACCGGTTGAAGGCCGGATAGTGCAGCGCCTTCGTCAGAAAGTCGGCCGGCTGGTCAGCGGTCGGGATGTACTTCAGTGAAAACTTCCCATGCTTCACCATGTGCTGCAGCCAGGCATGTCGCCGCTCCATGTGCTTGAGGTTGCCCGTCAACCCCATGCCCTCAGCGACCGTGATTGCCGACATGTTGTCCACCCGGAGGACGGTCGGCCTCCCGGCATCCAGCTGCCGGAACTCGGCGAGGAGGAAGCGAAGTCGGCGTCCCTCCTTGCCGGCTTCGGTGGCCGCCACGTACTCCGACTCGGTCGACGACATCGTCGCGCACTTGATGCGCTGGCTCGACCAGGAGACTGCGGCCCCTCCGTAGACGAACACGTAGCCGCCCGTGCTTGTCCTGTTCTGCTTGTCACCGGCGTCGTCGGCGTCCACGTAGCCGACCAGCTCCAGCGACTCAGGTCCACCGCCGAACTCCAGGGCGGTGTCACGCGTGTTGGCGAGGTAGGCGAGACAGCGGTCGACCTCGCGCCAGTGCTGGTCGCTCCTCATCGTGAGGCCGCTCCCCAGCTTGCTGCAGGCGAAGGCGATGTCCGGCCTTGTCGTCGTCGCCGCGAACTGCAGCGAGCCGACCTTCTGCCGGTACTCCTCCTCCTGTCGCTCCTGTGCCTCCTCGTCGTCGAAGGTGAAGTCGGCGTAGGCGTCGACCGAGACCGGTGTCTTCAGAGTGCGCCCCGTCTGCTCCTCGTCGATGAAGCGCCTACGCAGCTTGTCGGCGTAGCCCTGCTGGTGCAGCCACAGCTTCCCCGCCGACCTGTCGCGGATGATCTCCAGCCCGAGGTACTTCTGCACCGGCGAGATCTCACGCAGCTCGAAGGCGGACTCCAGCAGCCCCTTCAGCTCCTTCAGCATCTCGGTGCTGCTGCTGGCGGCGAGCAGGTCATCGACGTAGACCAGCTCCCAGCAGGCCACTTCGTCGTCGCCGACCTTGAAGTACAGAGCCTCGTCGACCTGGCTCTTCTTCCACCCGGCGCCGACCAGTACGTCGTTGAGCGCCAAGTACCACAGCAGCGGCGACTGCTTCAGGCCGTACAGGCTCTTCAGCAGCTTGCACACCCTGCCGGTTCCGTCGTTGAAGTAGTCCGGCTGGGACATGTAGAGCACCCGGTCGAGCTTGCTCTGCAAGAAGGCGTTCTTCATGTCGAGCTGCATCAGGTTGAGGTTGAGGACGGCGACGATGCTGAGGAAAATCCTCAGCGTGACGTAGCTGCCCACCGGCGCAAACGTCTCGTCGTAGTCAGCGCCATACACCTGGGTGAAGCCCTTCACGACCAGCCTCGCCTTTTCGCGCTCGACGGTGTCGCCGACGTGGTACTTCGTCGTCAACACCCACCGGTTCTTCATGATGTTCACTCCCGGCGGACGTTCGACCAGCTACCAAGTGCCCATGTTGATGAGGCTACGGATCTCCTCCTCCATGGCGGCCTTCACCGCCGAGCCCTTCCAGCTCGTCAAAGCCTCCTTCACTGTTATCATCGAGATGTCCCAACGATGCTCGGGGTCGGCATGCATGTCGGGGTCGAGCTCCGGAAACTCCTCATCCTCTTCGGCGTCGTCATACGCCAGGTCGTCGTCGTCGACGTCGTACACCGTGGTGAAGGCAGCAGGAACGAAGAAGTCGGGTGGCCTCCGAAGTCGGCCTGACTTCCGGGGTTCAGGCCGAACCTCCACCACGTCGCTGTCGGTGGACTGCTCGCATCCCCTCCTTTGTCATCGTCTTTGCTGCCCTCGATCGACTTCCTGGCCAACTTCTCCCATGTGGTCGGCTCCCTCGCCGACTGCCCGGCTGCCGACTGCTCCGTGGTCGGCTTCACTGCTGCCTGCTCCCCTGTCGACTTCACCCAAGTCGGCTGCTCCTCATCGACCTGCTCCTCATCGACCTGCTCCTCCCCTATCAAGTCGACTTGCCGCTCGTGACGTCGGCCACCGGCGATGCCCTTGGCCGGCGCCGAAGGCGACGTCCCACTACTCCCCTCATCGCCGGAGGCCGACACCGAGGTCAGCTCACGCAGGTCGGCCAGGTTGGGAGGGGCAGGGGTTGGAGAAGGGGGGGAAGGAGGACGGACGTCCTCGACGTCCTCAGCGGCAAGCTCACCGACCTCGGCGAGTAGAGGCAGCGTCGCCGTCGAGGTGTCGGTCGGTGGCGTGGTCGGCGTCCGTCCTGACACCGGCCCGTTCTCCGACTTCCACACTTCCAGCGACAGATCCTC